AAAAATTAGCCGGGCATGGTGGCGCATGCCTGTAGTCCCAGCTATTTGGGAGGCCAAGGCAGCAGGATTGCTTGAGCCCAGGAGTTTGAGGTTGCTCTGGGCTAGGCTGATGCCATGGCACTCACTCCAGCCTGGGCTACAAAGTGAGACTCTGTCAAAAAAAAAAAAAAAATTCTACATATGGTTTTTGTTGACCAATTAATTTCTTTGTATTTTTTTAGTAGACACGGGGTCTTGCTCTTGCTCAGGCTGGTTTTGAACTCCTGACCTTGAGTGATCCACCAGCCTCAACCTCCCATAGTGCTAGGATTACAGGCGTGAGCCACAGCCCCAGGCCAGTATCACCACTTCCAACATTCCAAAATCCTCTCTGGCGCAGAGTGGATTTTGTGTGAGTTGGATTTGAGTGAGTTGTCTAAGGACATTTAACCACTCACATCCACTAGATCTCATATTGCAGACTTCATGTTTCTCATTCAGTTCCTCTCTTCCTCCACCACAAAGATGGGCTGCCCCTCCTTAAAATTCCTTATAGCACTTTGTACTTGATTCTTAAGACACCCAACCCTCATTCACGTGCAGTAAAATCATGTCTCTTTGCCTTTCCATATAAGTTAAATTCTTGGGAACAAGACTCTTTCGATGTCAGCCCACAGCTATTCAAGCAGATGATCAAAAAATGAGTGTTGACTCAGTTCACCCGTAGAATCTGAGTCCCAATCTTTTCCCTCAAAGCTACTTTCAAAAACACACTAATGGTTCCTCAAAAGAATTAAAAATAGAATCACTATATGACCCAATAATTCTTCTAGTTATATACCCAAAGAAACTGAAAGCAGGCACTTGAACAGGTATTTGTACATAGCACCATTATTAACAATAGCCAAAAGGTGGTAGCAATCCAAGTGTCCATCAACAAATAAATACAAAGAATGTGGTATTATATACACAGTGGAATATTATTCAGCCTTAAAAAGGAAATTCTAAGTCAGGATACAACATGGATGAACCCTGAAGACAGTATGCTAAGTGAAATAAGCCAGACACAAAGAATAAATACTGTCTGATTCCACTTATATAAAATATCTAGAGTAGCCAAATTCATAGAGACACAAAGGAGAAGGTGGTTGCCAGAGCTAGGGGAGGTGGAATGGGGAGTTGTTATTCAATGGATACAGAGTTTCAGTTTGGGAAGATGAAAAAGTTCTAAGGATGGATGATGGTGAAGGTTGCACAATGTTAATGTATTTAATGCCACTGAACTGAAAAATGTTTAAAATGGTAGCTTTTGTTATACATATTTTACCACAAATTTTTTCAAAGCAGTACACTGACGCCAGCCTGGGTGGCCCACACCTGTAATCCTGGCACCTTGGGAGACTAAGGTGGAAAAACTGCTTGAAGCCAGGAGTTCAACCATCCTGGCAACAAAGCAAGACCTCCGCTCTACACAGTATTAAACAACTAGCCGGGAGTGATGGCACATGCCCTTAGTTCCAGCTACTCAGGAGGCTGAGGCAGGAGGATCACAGGAGCTCAGGAGTTTGAGGTTGCAATGAGCTATGATGGCACCACTGTTCTCCAGCCTACGTGACAAAGCAAGACCCTGTCTCTAAAAAAAAAAAACAAAAAGCACACTGTTCTTTCTTTGTTCACTATCCATAGACAGAGGCAGCTGAATGAGGGACTCCAAAATCAGACTGCTTGGGTAAAGTAAAGCTTAACAAACTCTTGTCTGGTGAAATTATCCAGAAGAGAAACCCTTGAAAAACACTGCACTAGACCACTGAAGACCCCTGTAACATTTTTTTTTTTTTTGAAACAGGGTCTCACTCTGTTGTTCCAGCTAGAGTATAGTGGCATCATCATAGCTCACTACAGCCTCAAACTCCTGGGCTCAAGTAATTATCCTGCTTCAGCCTCCTGAGTAGCTGGGACTATAGGCAAGCACCACCATGCTCAGCCAATTTTTCTATTTTTTTGTACAGATGGGGTCTCGAGGGTGCTCAGGATGGTCTCCTGACCCACCTTGGTCTCCCAAAGTGCTAGGATTACAGGCATAAACCACAGCACCCTGCTGACAACCTTTTAATTCCAACTGAAATTCCCAGGTACTAACATCTGCCCTGTGTAGCTCTCCAGTATCTTGCCTATTTGCACTGATACATGCAAAATGTAAACAGATCTATGCTTCACCAGGAATCTTATCAAATTACTACATACCTCCTTCCTTTAAAAAAAAAAGTCTTACTATTTAGGTTAACTATTAAAACCTTCTTAATTAAAAAATGCCAATCTTTCCAAGGCATTTAACTTGTCCCAAAACTTTAGTACAAAATGCTGATATCCAGAAAGAAAGAAACATTTATGAAAACTGTCCTAATACAGCCTAACCAAGTTCTTACCTGAATCCTGAAAGCCTATGCGCAACTTCTGACCCTGGCATATCAACCAAACGACATTATTTTTAAGGGCATGAGTTAGGTTATCCTGTGTTTCCAAGCATATAGTATCACAAATGGTGGGAACAATTGTACTGACCAAACTTTCCTCAATTGTATATCATTCTCCACTGTCTTGCCAGTTTATAGCATCAGGAAACGCACCCAGGCTTTTAGTCTGCACACCAATTCTATTACAGCTATCATTAACTAAAGTGCTACTGTTGCAACTTCCTTAGCCAAGAAGGTGAGACTGTCTTCACATGAGTATATCACAGGGCACCAAACTCTCAGCCCCTACTGACCAAAGCACAAATCTAGAAATTAACTTCAGCTCGGATAACCAGAGGCTCATTCACAAGTCAGACCATAAACACACACTGATACCATGTTTATTTTCTCATGAAAAATGTCAAAAACATTTAATTCTCTTAAGACAAAGTAGCAAGTTAGAGGAAAAGCCTCATCTAATGTGGTTATGTATACATACATTCAATCTGAAATGCCTTAAGGCCACTCCCCAATACAGGTTGGAGGGAAATACACACACAGAAGGCTACACTAGTCCACAACTTCACCTTACTCTGAAATAAAAAGGGCAAGAACACTATGTTCTAGAGACTATTAATAGAAGGTGGTCTAGATGGTCTAACAAATTACATCAAACAAGACAGGGAAGACTTTTCACCTATAGCTATCTAAATCGAAACATTTCTTTGGGAAACTAAGCTTATATAGCAGAACCATCTGTACAACGAAAGCATTCAAAAATACAAGTGTTGAAGAAATTATTTTATTCAACGTTTGAGTTTTTTTTTTAATCACCACCTTAAAAACAGATCAGTTTTGAAATTAAAATGTAAATCCAAACTTTCCTGGTATAACTCAGCCTTGTGAAGAGGAGCTTCCACTGCCTCTTCCTGGCTAACCGAGTTTAAAGTCCTAAGGTGCCGAAACAGTCGCCAACTTGAGTACCCGCCACCCCATTGGCTCAAAGGAAGCCCCGCCCCGTACAGCCACAGTAACTGAACATCAAGGGAACTCCAGGAAAGCCTGTCCCCCGCCACAGTTCCACTCTCCGCGGGCTCCCCGCCCGCCCCTCCCCCGCCCCACCGCCGCGGAAGCACGATCACCACTAGCAGCACACACTCCTGGCAGAGGACCTTGTGCACCTCGCCCCAAGAGTTATAACCAAGAGGGGAGTGGCGATGGCCATGCTCCCGCTCTTCTGGCCGCGCGGGCCATCCACGCTGCGCCGAGCGAAGCGGAGACGACAGCTCTGGCAGCCGGCCCCGCGTCCCAGGCAGCAGGCAGGGGCGAGCCGCAGGAGTAAGGGCCCACACCTCCGCCACTCCCCGGCGGGCCCCGCCCACCCCACGGGGACAAGGGCGGGGCGGACCTAGGCGCCCGGACTCGCAGCCAGACTCGACAGCGGGATTTCCCTAGCACCGCCTTACCGCCAAGGAGGCGGAAACCCAGAGCAGGGGGACGGCAAAGGGGAGTGGCATCGGCGCTAGGCACGGCCCCTCCGGCCAACCGGATCCCCGGAGGCGGAGGAGCGCAGACTTCACGCCCCCTCCCTGCCGCGCCCAGCAGCCACACGCGGGAGACCCTGCAGGCGTCCCCCGCCCCAGCAGGACGGAGCGCGGCCGCTCGCCGAAGGCCCCGCCCGCCCGGGAGGCTGGAGGTGGTCGGCCGCAAACAGCGCCCGGAGCGAGGCCGGCCCCGCCCCTCCTCCACAATCGCACGCGCGCGCCGGCCCCGCCCCCGAGCGGCGGCGCGGGCGCCCGCCCCCTCCGCGCGCACCGGGACTGCGCTCTCCTCCCCCTCCCGCACGGAGCGCTGCCCCGCTCCGCCCCCCACCCCCCTCACACAGCCACACGCCTCCCGCCCGGCTGCTCTACGGGAAGCCGAGGAGGTCAGCCCCCCTAAAAATACACACCCTCGAGCCCCGCGTTACCCGCCACACCAGTCTCCCGCCCGGACCCCCGGCCGGCGTGCTCTCACCGCAAAGCTGCTTCACCCGCTCGCCACTGCGTGTCCCTCTCGGCGTGACCCTCGGGCTCAGCAGGGAGGCCCCGAGAACGGCGCGGGCACAGGCCTGCCGAAGCGGGCTGGCAGCTACCTCTCCACTAACGAAGCGGTCACAGGCTCCGGTGCCCAGACTGGGAGGGAGGGAGGGAGGGAGGGAAACTCCGAGGGGGGAAGGGGAGGGGGGAAGATGGAGAAACCGTCCCCGCCGCCTCTACCGCCGCGGCCGCTTCTCTGTTACCCGGGAAATCCCGCCCACTCCCCCGGCCCGCCCCGCCAAGGGAAGACTCAGCTTCGTCCCAAGACAGGACGCATTATCCGCCCGTCAAAGGTGTAGCCAATCACTGCGCCCTACCTGCCTACTTCCCGCCCCTTCCCCCTCGACTGGGAGGGGAGGGGAGCCGCTCACCTTCTCCACGCCCCTATTGGCGGGGAGCTTCCCTAACTCAACCCCGCCTATTGGAGACGGAAAGCTGAATCCCACCTCCAAGCCGCAACACTATTGGAGGAACCAGGCAAGCTCTTCACCTCTCATTGGAGGATACCACATATCCCGCCCAGTACCGTCTCTGCCACAGGCCTAACAAGTTGGCTCCCGCCTCCGCCGGTCTTTGCATTGGAAGGCTACCCCTGGCTCTCCCACCGCCTCAGGAAGGTAAGTAACCGAAGTGGGGTAAAATGTCTGTTAAGTGAAGCAGGCTCCTCCTACCACACTGCCGGGCCAGCCCCCGCCCCCAGAAGTTGGATTGGATATCGTGGCGCCGGTAGGAGCTCCTATTGGCCAGGGCGCCCGTCTAGGAAGGAACGGATTCTACCCTGCGCGAGGAGGCTGAACCTTAGCAGTCCTTTTGTGGAATGTTTACACTGGAGACTGAGGCTCTGAGTTCTAGGGCCGAGACAGGGAGTGACGGGGAGCTCAGCAGCGGAGACCCCACACCTTGGTATTTGAAGGGGAAAGGCTGCAGCATTATCACCGGCGAGAACCTCCTTACAAAAAATGAAAGTGAGAACCTCATCCTTCCCATCCAGTTGTCTTTGCAATCTACATTCCGCATGCTGCGTCCCTATCACAATCATCTGGAGAGCCGGCAGCTCCTTTCTGCGAGTACAGTCTGCAGACGTAAGCCGAGAAATAACCCAGGGGTAGCCAGCTCGCTGCTAGGGGTGGCTGCACACTCCCAACTCCGACACTCCCTAGACCTGAAGATGCAGCCCTGCGAGGGCGGAGATAACCAAAAGAAAGGCGGGCCCTAACAGCCACCGCCCCGGCAAGCCTCCGGAAGGCAGAGCATGAGGCAGAACGTACTCGCGATCTCCAGGGTAGACCTAGACGCATCCTCAGACTTGAGGAAAGGAAAAAGGAGATGGAAAAGACCAAAACAGGCCAGAGCCCAAATTAACCTTGGGAAAACGCCACACTCAGAGAAAGGATAAAACGTCCGGAGTTACAGACAAAAGAACGGCTGTTCACTTTCTCCTTGGCCAGAGTGTTAATGGCAGTCCCTAGGCCCTCTGTGTAGGCAATAGTACCTCGAACACACAGAGACAAAGTGCTTGGGAGAGCTAGGTTGCTTTTACTTATTCACTAAATAGGGCGTGGGCCTGACGCTTGCCTTGCTTTGGGGGGCGCTCTCGCAGCGCCAGGAGAGAGGGCGGGACTAGAGTCTTCCCGCTCTCAGGAGCAGAAAGGATATTCCCCCCAGAGAGCCAAGAAAGACCCCAGGAGACAGGTTCTAGGGAACCCATTCCTAGGTCCAACACTGTCCTTCCTACCCTGATCCAGCGGAGACTGCCAGAAACGAGCACTGGCAACAGGTGGGCCTGACTCCAAGGATGGCTTCGAGCCGTGAGGCCACGGCTGTAAATCGTGAGCTCCACGAGTAGCCGACAGGGAGAGCAGCTTCCCAGTAGCCAAGCCCTGACCCGGGATGGAGCTCTAAGTCAGACAGACGAAAGCGATCCCCGGGCCAAACTGCTCGCAGGTCAGGAAATGGCGCTCCAGCAGAATTGAGCAAAGGCTACCTTCAACTCTGGGCTGCCGTCCCCCACCCAGAGTGTGTGCCACACGACACTGCCACCAGGACATCCAAAACCATTCAGAACCCAGGCCAGGATGAGGCAGCTCCCGACTTCCCTGACCACCGGAGACTGGCTGCCGTGGATCTTGCCTGAGGCTTCCCGGCCAACCCAAGGCTGCCAGTTTTAGTGGGAAGCAAAGACAATGCCGGCGTCTGCTGAGTCCCCAAGCTTAAGCTCAGGGAAGTCAAGGGGGATGGAAACAGCCCAGCCATGGGTTCGGAACTTTAGTACTCGGCCCCTACCCAGAAGGGCAGATCCCACGCGCTGCAACAGCCCGGAGCTACGCTCCCCAAATCTACTCCACACTGTAATTCCTTAGCTTCACCCCGAAGGCCACCAGACCTCGAGCCTGGGTGAAATCTTTGTGTTCCTCCTCAGCTCTCCCCCCCCCGTCCAAGCCCCCCCGCCCCGCCCCGCCAAGGGCGCCGAGACCAGGACTTCCGGGCGGGAGGGCAGCTCGGAGGAGCTAGGCGGGCCTCACACATGTGCGGAGCACTCTCAAGAGCAAAGGGAGGGGGCGGGGAACAAGGGCGGACTTCCCCCTCCGAGCTCTCTCCGCCGGAGGAGGCGGGGTCATCCAAAACCACCAATCAGAAATGGGGGCGGGACCTCGCGCCTCAACGTAACCTCAGGAATCCTCTCTCCTCCCTTCGGGGAAAAAAAATCCTAGCAACTTAAACTCCAGCCCGCCCTCCGGATAGGCGGAGCTCGAGAGAATGTTATCCAATCCGTATCCAAGAAGGGAAAAGGGAGTTTCGCCCAGCCAATGGAAGACAAGAGAAGGAGGGGCCCCGGGAAGAGGCCGAGGTGGGTGGGAGGACGCGGCCCCGCCCCCAGCTCCCCTCCGGGCGGGTTGCACAAGCCACCGCCGAGTAGATAGTAAACAGTCTGGGCCGAGGCGTGGAGGCCAGGGCAGCGCGGCGGCCAGGGCAGCGCGGCGCTGTGTGGCCGAGGCGCTGCACCTTCTCTCCCCGGGTCGCCCCGCCCGGCCCAGACGGCTCGCGCCGGCGCCCCGCCTCCCGGCCCGCGGCCGCCATCGCGACTGACAGACGCGCCCCCCGCGCCCCTCCCCGCCCGCTGATGCACTTCCTTCCCCGACTCCGAGCGTGGAGACTGTTTTCCCAGGTCCCGACCTTCACTGCCCCTCTCAAGCCGTCCCTCGTGGACGCGCGCACACGCCGTTCCCTCGCCCCCGCCCGTCCGGCCCGCAGCGGCAGCTCGCGGAAGGGGAGCCCGCAGCCGCACGGCCGGGGGAAGGGAAGGGAAGGGAACCGCGGCGGCCGCCGCCGGGGGTGGGCGGGGAAGGAGGCAGCTCCATGTTTGCAGGGGATCAGTTGGGGCCGCGGGGCGAAGCCGCGGAGTTCCCGCAGGTTTTCGCACCCCGGATCCGAGCTCCGCGCCCGCTCGCGGCCTAGCGGGTTCCGGCGCCGAATGCCGGCTCGAGCGCCACGGCCCGGGACTTCGGTGATCACCGGCGGCTCGCAGAGCTGCTGGGAAGGCGCAGGGAGCTCTTCTCGCGGCCGCTCCCGCCCCCGGCCACCCCCCTGCCAGTCTGGGGTTGCCCCCGCCCCCGGAGTCCTTAACAACCGCGGGCCCACAGCGCCCGCGCCTCTCCGGAGCGCGCCCATCGCCCCTCCTGCAAGTTTGCGGGTAGAAACAAAATCCGCAGGCGGCTGCAGCCCTCGCCCGGCGTGGCCACCGGGGCAAGCCGCGGGCCCCGGCTAGCTCCCTAACTCCGGCTCGCGAGCAACTCCGGCGCCGCGGGTTCAGTGGGCCCAGCCGGCCAGGCTCGGGTTGCCCCCTGCCGAGCCCGCGCGCTGCAGCCCGGGCCCGGTTCCAGCCGGCGTGCAGAATCCCCCCTTTTTTCTTCTTTACACTATTTTCCTGGTTAAAGAAAAGGCACAGCAAGAGCAGGGGATCTCCTCCTGCCCGCCCTTTCCCCAGTCCGCCGCCAAAACCTACCGAAACCGACAGCCCACTGAAACAAACTAGACGGCACAGCTGGCGCATGGGCGACCCCAGGCCGGACCGACCCCTCCCCGCGGTCCAGCCCTGCTTGGAAACACACACTGGCGAGCGGGCGGCGCCAAGAGCGCCTTCCTGGCCTGCCCCTCGCCTGCCGCGGCCGCAGGACTCCAGCCTCCCCGGCTCAGTCCCGGGGCCCGCGGCGCCCACACCGACGTCCGGCCGGTCAAGCCGAGCAGCCGGCGAACCTGCCCCCCAAACGCCCGAGATTGGGGGGACCAAATTAAAAGCAGCTGTTTAACATACCTTCCGAGCCAGGCGAGGAGTCCTGAATGGGGGAACGCCCCCCACGGGCCATTGGCTCCCCAGCGCACACGTCAGTCACCCTGGGCCCGCCTCCCGCTTCGCCCCGCCTCTTCCCCTTCATTGAACGCCCCTTCCCTTCAAAACACACAAATTAATTAAACTAGCTGCAAGTGGAAGACGCGTCCGTGGCGGAGGCCCCTACATCTCACGCAGCGCCGACTTGAGTTCCCCGAGGTCCTCGGGCTAGAGGGAGGCCTGCGGCGCTCAGATCCGCCGGGCGGACGGGGAGGAGGAGCTGTCGCAGCCGCCCGCCCCAACTTCCTTCGCAGACACGACCCATTCGGAGCCGGGCAGTGAGGCGGGTAGGGGTGCCCTCGCGACCGGCTGGAATGTCCAGACCGCCCTGCCTGTGTGACCCGTGTCCGGCCCACTCTGTTCGGCGTCTAAAAATGAGCGATGCAAACGGAAAGCCCTGCGTCCAGGGCAACTGGCACTTGTCTGAGCGCCGACGGTGAGGGAGGCCGACAGTCACACCGCACCTGCTGCTCCGTGCAGCTACTGCCTGGCTGGGAAGCTTACTCTGCTCTCCAAGGTCTCCAGATCCTGTCGAGAAGAGACTACAGAAAAAGCTAAGGCAAGGCAGGAATGTACATGTAGACATCCATAGGAGCTCAGAGAAGGGAGATTCCTTCTACCTGAAGGAAAATTGGGAAAGGTTTCATGGAGGAGATGGCATTCTAGTTGGCATTAAGATGAATCTTAAAGATTTCATCAGGCAAAAATGGGGTGGCAAGTCATTACCATCAATGGGCACAAAGAGGTAAATGGAAAGCATTAAGGAACTTCACATGCGGCTGCAATAATGAAAATCCGAGTTGGAAAGATGCAACCAAACAGTGAAGGACTTCATATTGGTTAAGAATCTTGGACTCTGACGGGCGGGATGGCTCAGGCCTGTAATCCTAGCACTCTGGGAGGCCGAGGCGGGCGGATTGTTCCAGGCAGGAGTTCGAAACCAGCCTGAGCAAGAGCGAGACCCTGTCTCTACTATAAATAGAAAGAAATTAATTGGCCAACTAATATATATAGAAAAAATGAGCCTGGCATGGTGGCGCAGGCCTGTAGTCCCAGCTACTTGGGAGGCTGAGGCAGCAGGATTGCTAGAGCCCAGGAGTTTGAGGTTGCTGTGAGCTAGGCTAGTGCCACGGCATTCACTCTAGCCTGGGCAACAAAGCGAGACTCTGTCTCAAAAAAAAAAAAAGAAGGCCGGGCGCGGTGGCTCACGCCTGTAATCCTAGCACTCTGGGAGCCCGAGGCGGGCGGATTGCTCAAGGTCGGGAGTTCGAAACCAGCCTGAGCGAGACCCCGTCTCTACTAAAAAAATAGAAAGAAATTAATTGACCAACTAAAAAAAGTATATATACAAAAAATTAGCCGGGCATGGTGGCGCATGCCTGTAGTCCCAGCTACTCGGGAGGCTGAGGCAGGAGGATCGCTTGAGCCCAGGAGTTTGAGGTTGCTGTGAGCTAGGCTGACGCCACGGCACTCACTCTAGCCTGGGCAACAAAAAAAAGTGAGACTCTGTCTCAAATCTTGGACTCGCACAGCAGAATGTGCCAACAGCATGGTCGCAGGACCACAGGCCCAGAACTATGATGTAAAATGTTAAGCATGCTAGAGCTGGATGGGTTCAGAGGGTGGTGGAACAAGAGGTATCTTCTACTGCAAGAGGAAGCCCCGAGGATGTTGTAATACTGGGTTTGGAGACCCCAGAGGTACATCTTGTGGAGGAAGCCAACAGAAGGCTTCTTTTCTCTCTCCCAGTCACCCAATGCAGAAGCCTTCCCCACTTTCAGCAGCCCTCAAGTCAGAGCTCTGACTCAGATCCTTCCCTATATCATTTGCTGTGTTTATCCTAACTTCCAACCAAAAACAGTTTTTCAGGGGCAGAGGCTACCCTACATCTGTGTTCCCCAAAACCGGCTGGGCGTGGTGGTTCACTCCTGTAATCCTAGCACCCTGGGAGGCTGAAGCTGGAGGATCCCTCAAGGTCAGGAGTTCTAAACAAAGCCAAGCCTAGAGGCAGGATGCACATGTAAGCAAGAAAGTTTGCTGAGGCATTGAGGAAAGGAAGTTAGTGAGGATAAGGTGGGGTGTACAGAACATGAAGAGCTTTGGAGTCCACTGGGCAGAACAGTGGCCTACTACCAATTGAGAGACTGTCCCTGTAGTGCAGGTGACATGTAAAAAGGATTTGGCCAGAACAATGACAATGGGTAAGTGAGAAGAATAAAAAAGCAAGGCTTTGTTTGAGGAAGACTCAAGGGGAGTGACTGATTCAGTGTGGATAGCAGAGGGAAAGAAGTAGCCTATGGTCTGCTGTGTTAAGAGATGGAAGAGTTTGAGGCTACTGGTTGGGTGATCTGAGTTCTACACCTAGCATGGTCAGTGACTGGTATTACAGTCTTGGGCAAGTCCCTTCCTCCTTCTGGGCCTGTTTCCCTGTGGAATGGAGGTGAAAATTGGAGTACTTAGACTGTAAGGATCCTCCCCTCACTCAGAGTCCATGTAGGGGAAGCTTGCCACTGAGGAGAAAGGGTAGGTGAGAACTTCTGATTTGGGATTAGCAGTGGGTACCCCAGGTAGAGTCTGAAGACTAGAATGTGGGTGGCAGCTTGGTGGATAGAATCGTTGAGGGGAAAGGACAGGAGATGAGGACTATGTGTTCAGTGGGAATCCCAGCGCTGGCAGAGCTACTGAGGTCAAGGTTCATCCTCCCTAGAGTGAGGAACAAGCTTTCCTATATCAGAACAGAGATTCCCTGATGTCTGGATTCCCATCTCAGATACCTGCTCTATTTCCTAAGGGGCTTTGCCCTAGCTGAAGGCGTAAAAGATACCGTGTCAATGTGAGATGAGGCAGAGTGGTAGAGCTGAAAGAATACTACTCTAGGAGTCCCCTATTCCCATTTAGTCCCTTCCTATCTGTGATCAGCCGCCTCTCCTGTGCAAGAGGATAACACAGCAATCCTTGCCCTGTTATGAGGATCAAATGTGATGATAATGTGCTTTGTCACTTAGTGAGGTTCTGAGTTTCTGTGAAACCCAAAGTCCCAAGCATTTCATGGTGATCCTGGACAGCAAGTGGTGTGGAGGTGGGCGGTGGAGGCGGAGCTCAGGCGTAATGCAAGCGATGGGGAGCAGCTGTAAATACAGCTTCACTTGCTCACTCGCTGCTCACCTCTTGCTATGCGGCCCAGTTCCTAACAGGTAGGTAATGGACTGTTACTGGTCTGTGGCCCAGGGACTGGGGACCACAGCTGTAGGTAAAGTTACTTATGGAGGATCTGCAACTAGAATAGTTACCTCCATGCAGAGAACTAGACTTCACTGACACTCCCCACCCTCCTAAGTGCCACCCTCATGGGGAACTCCTATGAACACTCCCCAAACTGAGCTGCTTGAGGACAGTCACTCTATCTGATTCACCTCTGATCCCCCAGAGCCCACTGCAATCAGGCACCGGTGGCTCTCTGGAAGGGGACCAGTGATTGTTCCTCACTCACTACATTGACACTACACAGCTCAGTCAGTCCCAGACTCTTTGGGAAAGTGACTGTGTGATTTGGTGACATTGTCCCTCCAACTGCACCGAGGGTTGCACCATCCTACCTATACCCCATATTACTAGTGAGGATAAAACTTAATGGGTCAAGGTAAGGGCTGTCCTTGGAGAAATCACATCGGAAGGCCAGGTTCTGGTACTCAGGAGGCCTCTCGTGTGTGAACTGTCCAGCCGATTTTGTGAGGTAGGGATTATTATCCTTATTTGCAGATGAGCAAAGTGAGGCTTAGCACAGTAGAGTGATTTGCTCAAGTCAGATGGCCCAGGCCAGCCCGTCTGTGCCCACCACTCCACATGATCTCTGCACACGCAGGCGCGATTCAGGCTGAGCCTCTGGAGAGCAGCCTGCCTCCCCTGTGCTGCACAGGCCTTACCGCCCTAACTCAGGCCAGTTTGTCCTCTAAGTGATTTCTGGCCCTTTCCAGAAAATTATCCTCAAAGAAGCAAGATTTGTCTCTCACACACATACACAAGTCCTCAACTCATAACACATATGCTCAAAACTGTCACACCTGACACTGTCAGTCTCACAGGCATCTTTCTCTCACACACTCCTTCATTCACAAAAAAAGGCTCATTCACAGTTGGGTTTTTTTTTTTTTTTTTTGGAGATGGAGTCTTGCTTTGTCACCCAGGCTAATATTTCTTTTTCTTTTTTTTTGAGACAGAGTCTCACTCTGTTGCCCGGGCTAGGGTGCAGTGGCGTCTGCCTAGCTCACAGAAACCTCAAACTCCTGGGCTCAAGTGATCCTTATGGCTCAGCCTCCAGAGTAGCTGGGACTACAGGCATGTGCCACCAGGCCCAGCTAATTTTTTCTATATATATATATATATATTTTTTTTTTTAGTTGGGCAGTTAATTTCTATTTTTAGTAGAGTTGGCATCTCACTCTTGCTCAGGCTGGTCTTGAACTCCTGATTTCAAGCCATCCTCCAGCCTTGGCCTCCCAGAGTGCTAGGATTACAGGCATGAGCCCAGCCCCATTAACAATTCTTTAGGGTGCTTATGGTAGGTGGTAACTGAGAGACATTTAGGGCCTGCACTTCAGTGACTCTGCCAAAATGATCAGCACCAGTTACCCTGCTAACAGAACCTCTGAAAGCTACCGAAGAGGACCATGGACGGCTCTGGAATATCCAGGTAAGGGGAATCTGAGGCGAGCTCCCCACCTACAACCCAAAGCATCCTCTAGGTTCAAGGGAAAAAGCTCAGGCCCTTCGTCAGAATCCCAATGTAGCAATTTCCTAGCAGGATGATTTCAGCAAGTCATTTATCTTCTCAATGTCCTCATCTATAAACTAAGAATACCTACTTCAGTGGGCTGTTGTGAGATTTAAAATTTAAGTATGCCTAGCATCCTTGAGTTCTCAGACCTTTCCTCCTTTTTCTCATCCCAGCCCCCTTCTCCTGGCCATTCAAATGCAAAGTTCCTGGAGTTGCAGTTTGAGAGATGAACCCCAGAATAGGCCTCAAAGACCAAATAATCCCACTTTGTGAAAACACTCCATTTCTCTGGCAACCAGCATTAGTTTGTATATACTCCATTATTTCTGATTTCTAGGTGGCCTTGGAGGCTTGGTATTTTTGAGTGGAGTTAAGACTGCTATTTACTGCCTTGAAATGTTTCCTCCAGCAGAACATTAGTTTACCATTCTGGGTCACTCAGCATGTTTCCCAGTTTACCTGGCTTTAAGCTTAAAGTGTTTCCTTTTGTATACCAGTTGTTTCGAGACTTTTTAAGCAGAAGTTCTTTTGTTCAAATAAAACCTTATTCAGAAGCCTAATTCGTAAAATAAAAATGTGGGCCTTGTTTTGATTGAAGTGAGGACAGCCTGAGCCTGCAGTCTCTATTCCTTCACCTCTCATTGCCTAACAGCCACTGAGTCCCTTCAGAGACCTCTAGGGAACCCCCATTTCTGAATCACGTTCTTTCAGCCGAGCCACTCCCTACCTCTCAGGAGCCTGTGGATCAGTGCCCTTCAGGAGCTTTCCTTCCTCTACCCATTCCCTAAGGTTGGTGGCCTCTCCTCTTCTTGTCTTCCTCATTCTTCACTTCTAATGCTCATTGCTTCTATCTAAACAAAGTTCCAAATTGACATGTCCAGCCCAGAATCTGCTCTGAACAGCAGACTCCAGACTGCCACTGGCTGCTGGCCATAGAAAAGGTATTCATTAAAACTGAAGTAAGAGACCCCACAGGATGAAATGGCTGACCTTCCCCCAGCGTGCATCCAGCCGATCTGGAGGCTTAAGACAAACTCTACAGCAGCTTAGAGAAGTGGCCAGATTCTGATGTTGGCGAGGGGTAGAAGAACGTGAGCTTTAAGTGGGGAAATTGCGCTGTGCCTTTTTTGACTCCCTTCTCCCACATCTTACTGCCTTGCTTTCCTACTCTAGTCATCATAGTCAAACCATCAGGAAATTATTACCCTCAATTGTTGAAGGCACCACAGCTCCCAAACTCCATCCAACACTCCTAGCTAGGATTCCAGTGTAATTAGCTATGTCCACCATGGCCTTTGCATGAAAAATATCGTTATTTAAGACTGCCGCATGCCAGATTTAGCTTAAACAGGAGGAATAATTTTATGACAGCCAAGGTGAAGGAGATTTAAATACTATAACAGGCTTCAGAGTGCTATATTTCTATTTGTGAAGAAGATTCCAGTCTTCTCTGTGGTCAACTTGGAGCAATGCAGTCCAAAACACTTGATAGTTTTAAGTGTTGTGTGATGGTAACTACAGGGCAGAAATATCCCAAGAGAAAATGTGTTCCCAGGCTGGTTGGAGCTTACACTCCTGCCTTTGGTAAGCTAATGGTGGTCTGTGAGTAGTGACCAAGGCCTGGAACAAACATAAGACCTAGGTTGGGAGCTCTGGGACCCTTGCTCAGTTCATTCTTTGACTCTGAGTCACCCTGTCTATACCACACTGAGCAACAGGGAAGACTTCCCTTTCCCAGGGAAGACCCTACAAGAGTGGTCTTGGAAATTACAGAGGAGACTTGACTTGTTTTTCATCCAGTTGGGGGCTGCATGGGAAGAGAACTGAGGGAATATAGAGAAGTGGCAGCTGCTTGAAAGAAAAGTCTTTGAAAACAAGCTACAAATGGGAAGTGCAATGGGAGCTGACCCAACTGAAGTTGGGCCTGATAGTTCCTCCATGGGTGTCTATACTGTCTAACAAAGAATTGGACCCTTAGTCAGAGGACCCACAGTAGAACCATCTAGTGCAGCCCTTTCTTTTACAGAGGGAAACCAGGACTTAGGATGGATAGAGTGCAAAGACCTCAAAACTACGAAAGAGCTCAGTCACTCTAGAAAATCTTTTCGACCTGGCCAGTACCTCTTGGCCTCTCTCCCTCTAAGTCTGATTTACAGGAATCTGTGTGTCTGATTGTTCCTAGAGATGGGAAGCATCTTTTTGAGGGCAGGAACCACATCCCTAAGGCCATGATGCTTAGTACCATCTCTCAAGAGCAGATCCTACTCTGTCATTTACCTGCATATTGTCACATGGAGACAATAACGGTGGGCCTCCTGGGCTGAGGATGCTGGGGCACCCTTTACCTCAGGAGTCCCATCCTAGCGCACAGGGATGAGCAGGATGAAGGAGCAATAGGAAAAACAGGGGACCAGGGGATTATCTCTTGTGTTTGAAAAATTATATACCATGGCAATGTTAACAGTAAGTTAGGCAAAAAAAAAACAGCAAAGCAGAATACTGCTTTAGCCCACAATGTTTCTTCTATCCCCTGAACACGTTTCTCCTGCTTTCTTCACTAAGTCTCCTGGGTGAGATCCTTGACTTCCTAAACAGATTCTGGGCTCCATCTCTGCCTTCCCTTTCCTTTCCCTCCTCCTTTAACACCTAGCACAGCTAAACTCACACTGGTAAAAGCTACAAACAATGGCGGTGGAGGGAAAGCTACTGGTCCCTTTCTCTCAGAGTTTTACTGAAAATTCAGGAGACATCAATTTGATAACTCTCCACAGAGTCAGAGACACACAAACTATATGTCAGTGGTTCCCAAACATGGATCATCCTGTCACTCAACCACCTCCTGGGTAAGCCTGGGAATCTGCATTTTTCTGGAGCTCTGTAAGTGATTACCTCACTGATCCTCAGATATGCAATGAGTAATTCATGCATAACTTTGAATTTACAGTTGGGATACAGCCTCTTCAAATAAATGACAGTTTGAAGTTATCTTCTCCAGACCTTTTATCATTAATCCCATTTCCTACCTATTCCACCAATCCCAACCTCTAATTTCTCAGATTTCAAATATCAAATACTCTCTGATCATGTCTTGCTTGCGTGCCTCCATGAGAATGCAGCTCATCTGGGGCAAGGTCTGGCTTGATCTTTTACTCTACACTTCAGCTCTTGATTAAGGTGAGAAACTCAAGAAAAATTTGTTGGCAGATCTGGAGATGGATACTTAGGAGGAATCTCGTGTTAAGAGTTAAGAGAAGGTACTTGGGAGTCAGATGGTCCATGTTCCTGTGTCTCAATTTTTTCCTTCTGTCCATAGCTACCTCAAAAGGTTGTAGACAGTAAAGGAGACAATACCTAGAAATTACTCTAAACAGTACCTGCACTAGAGTAAGCATCCCGTATGTGTTAGATGCTATGACTACCCCACTATCTGCCAGCCAGAACTGCCCCATCTGAGCAGGCTATCACTGGCCAACAGGGATGGTACAGGGAGTGGTCCTACAGGGACAAAGCTTCTGGTTCCATTTTTATAAGAGAGAAATGTAAATGAATCAAGATATTCCCACAAAGACCAATATGCCCACATGTATAGTTTCCCCCCAGGAGAAGGACCCCTTTGGTACTCTGCAGACCCGACGACCCTACATCAGGAGGTCCCAACTGGGATAATCAGTTACCAACCTTGTCACCCTTCGGGTCCACCACATCAAACATGGGTTCAAGACCAACCACCTGGAATTTAAGAATTGCTTACACTCAGAGTTTGAAAAACCTCTAGTCTCCAAATACAAAGCACTATCTCCATTTTTGACACGATGAAGAGATAAAAGGCTTTGTAGGCAGACCAACTTGAGCTTCAGTTTTAGAGCAAATCACCGTAACCCTCTGAACCTCACCTTACTCATCTATAGAGAAATGAGAAAAGGGTAGACAAGGGAAAGGAGGGAGAGGATAATATCTCACTGGATTGTTGTGAGGTTTAAATGAGGTAATGGGGAAGCACCCATCATAGAGCTTGGCACATAGCAAGAGCTCAACTGGTATTGGGCCCCTTTGTCCAGAGCTAAGGCCATGGCCTACAGACAAGGTAGGTAGCTCTCAGAACTGAAAGTCTCAGATACTGGAGCCTTGGGTCCCTCCCTGCCTCCCCATCCCTCCCAGACCAGCTCCTAGACCCCCTCCTTCCCAGCCCCAGACTGCTAAATTGATGAAGCTAAAAGGGTTTTGATCATGTCAGTATATTTATATGTAAATACAAAACTGTATCACTGTAAGATATTGATTATGAACATTACAACTATTTTCTGAATCTGACTCAATCCATTAATGCTAAATACAAAATGAAATGATTGTAAAAAATAAGAATATACATATTCAAAGAGCTTATTACAGTATAAAATTATTGAGGTCTGATTAGCCACCAACCTCTTCTATGATGGGGGAAGGTTTAAGGGTTCCTGGAATTTTCATAGGAACGTGGAGTGCTGGGGACTCTAGACTGCATCCCTGGCACATCAGGATGGGTGAACTGGGAGCAGGTTGTAGTGTGTAGGGGACCACCTCACCCAGCCAGGGGGTTAAGCTTTTTATTGGCACAGAATCTTGAGCTTGAGCTCCAGGGTCTGACAGGCTAGCAAGCAGGAAGAGATGGGCATCTTGGTAGATAGGGCCAAGCTGCATAAAGAAAGGAACCATCCAGCAAAAGAAAAAGGGGCCCTAGCTTGTCCTCCCAGAGGGATTCTTATAGTAGTTTCCTCTCTCTCACACCTAGGCTCCCCTTCTTTCCTTCTAAGACTTTGTACCAGTTGCTTTTGGCTCTGGCTGCTCAGTGAGTTCATCTCTATCCCTGGGATCTCTCATCCCTCGGGTAGTGAGAGGAAAGAGAGAACATGGAATCACAGTGGAGGTCTGTTCCCAAAAATGGCCAAGTAACCAGAAAAAAATCATCATATAAGGGCAACCCATGCTGAATTAACCCAGTGTCACCACAAACCAATATCCTTGGCTCTAACACGCAGCATCTGGAGGTAAGTCACTACTTAAGGATGAGGGCCTGTGGCAGGAGCATGTAGGAGATTTGTGTGTGTGTGTGTGTGTCCTGTTTCACCACTCTGCAGTCTGACAACAGGAGACAGGATCCCCAACCCCAGCTACTCCAGGATAAATAGCAGGATCCAAGAAGCAAGGAGCCCTGAACTGCAACATGGAACCCCAGGAACTTCTGCAAAGGAATATCTGTGTGTATATGTATTTATAGAATACAATCATATTATCACATACAATATATATTATATACACACATACATATGGACCCATACACATAAGTGCACATACACACACACACACACACACACAATGACAAAAAAGACTGGAATACACGCCCTGTGTATAAACGTGCTTGGCACTCAGGACGATCTGTAGAATATGTAACTTGGTCAATCAAGCTCTTGGGGAGGAAGGTGAATGCTCACCAAACCTTCCCATAAAATCCTGGCAAAGGGAAAGAGGAGACCTCCAGAAGGATAATGGCATTGGGAAAGGGGGAGGGAGGTTCCTTCCCCACTTACCTCGGGGGCCCTGGCAAAAATCAATAGCCACAATTTGGTTTTAATAAGGCACAGTTTGATAGCAGGTGCTAGGAATTCAGAACACATTGCTGCTGGCTCTTTCTAGTGGCAATTTCGCCACATATATCTAGCCAGAGGGAATGCCGCCTTGCATGTACACGTGTGCCAGGAGACTTATAAGAGAAAGGTTGATCCATGGCTTCAGCAAAACTGTTGGTAACCTATAGGCCCAGTGGTGTCCAGGATAGTTTAAGGAAGGCTGGCCAGCAGGTAGGAGGCTCATGGGAGAGTTATTGACTCTCCATGGCCAGCAGGTTGCGGCCAGAGGACACCATGCCCTCCTTCTCTGCAAACTCCAGGATGGCCTTGTAGCAAAAATAGTACTGCTCAGGGGTCTGGATGCTGAAGGCCCTCTGGGTTCTCATTCGTGACACCGTCTGGAACACATTAAGGGTGCCAAGCTCCTCTAGCTGTGCCAGGCAGATGTCCAGTGAGCAGAAGGTACCTGAAGAAGAAAGGAAGGGATCACATGTAGTTTACCTCCCATCTCTTCCTCCCTCTACCAAATAACCCAGGGAGAATTGGATGAATGTATTCAAAGGCAAGGTGCCTCATGGCAGGAGGCCAGATGGCCTTAGGCCTAAAAGAACTTGAAGAGGAGGTCATAGGGAGTGCTGAAGGCCAGAGAAATGAGATGGCCTCTTGTCTCTCTGGACATACATGGGGGTAACAGGAAGAGTGGGAAGTGACACAGGAATTTCCTCCTTTAATCTCAGACAGACAGACTGACAGCACTCCCACATTTAATGTCCAGAGACTCTGCAACTTTTCCACAAAGGCCTAACACAAACCTTTCCAGCTTTCTTCCAAAGGGACCCCTAAACTAGAAAGGCCAATGGTTTCTGCAATGTATACCCCCTTAAAGCAAAAGGTGCTAGCTGGCTCCACATGGAGAACACAGCACAGGGTGAGGAGACCCCTCAAGGAAGGTGGGGATGGGACAGAAGCAGCAGACCAGCTGAGTTCTCTGAGATATCCAAAGTGGCAGTGATGACAAGGTGACAGGGTCAGAAGATAACCATGCTGATGAGGTATATAAAGCCCTAGAAGGCATGGCCTGTGAAGTATATATTCTGGCCAGCACCTAGCACTAGGGACACCGAACAGACATTAAAGAGGAATTTTTCACAGCAATTTACCGCCAAGGGATCAAATGAGTTCTTTCTCCAATCACAGATATGGCTGAGAGCTTTGTTATTCCTTCCCTACCTATTGCCTCTGGAGGCTCCAAGAGCCCTGTCAGATGCATTACCTGTCCTGCCAATGCCTGCACTGCAGTGGACCACGATGGGTGGCTCAGGACACTGCCCTTTGGAACGTACTGCCGTGCTGCTCACAGCCAGACTCTGCTGATTTCTGACCACTCTCAAAAAGTCAATGAGGGAAGCTGCTGAGGAAGGGACGCCATAATCTGGCCAGCTCAGGAACTGGAAGTGGGTCACCTGGCGTTTCTGCCGCTCCTTAGATGAGAAAAGCAGCAAAAGTTAATGAGGTCATTTCTGCCTGCCCCGACTACCTCTTGCTTTCCAGATTCCCAATACCCTAGTGTCCCTACCACCAAGGCTCCTGTCTACCACTGTCACCTTTCCCAATTGCTTCTCCCAACAATTGCTTTGCTACTATAAGCCCAAAGGAAAGGTTAAATGTTTGAAAAAGGCAGAATTCCTATATTGTAGGATACAGAATTCTTTAGTTGTAAGCATTATTCCTATGAAATGCCACTGTTAAATTGAGATAATATGACTATATTGGCTCTAAGTTGAATTATCCTCATCCTGTTCCCAGAAAAAAGAAGCAACTTATAACTTCCCTGGAATCCTGTCTATTCCCTCTGCAGATATTCTTTATGGTGGTGATTCTCCCCAAGTTTCAAAAGATGAGAAAACAGAAACCTGGATTTACCTCTGTGTTGAGAATTTCTAGCGTTGTTTTCTTATAATGGTTCATGTTCTCCACACCTAGATTGGTCACTGTGAGGAAGCCAAATCGGACCCGAGAGTCTTTTTCTAAAGGCCAGTATTGGCCACACTTTCTCCTGCCACCTTCCTCAAAGCTGAAAAGAAACAGAGCAAGGTAAGCCTTCCATTTTCACTCACCACAGCATAACCCGCTCCCCCAAAGACCTGCTGTACCCCTAGGCAGCACTGTCTTCTCCTGCATTGCTTCTAACTTACACCATTGATTCTCAGCAGAAAAGGAAGGAAGCCTCTTCATTCTAAACAGATTTAACAACAGGAAAGTTGCTGCATGGACTCTTTTAGCCAACGTTTATTGAACACTTACTACATCATTTGGTCTCTTTCCTGATATCTCATGGTACTTCTCACAGAACTGGGATAAACACTGAGAGTGGACAAAGAAAACAGTAGAGAAAATATGATGGGTGAGAGAGAACGCTCTGGCCTGTACCTCAGCCACTGCTCCTGCTCTTCTCCGGTAAGGGCTATGGGCTGATAAATGACTGGGAAAGACAGTTCCTGGGTTACTAGTGGGAGGTTTATGTAAAGTCCCACCCCATCACTCTTCAGTGGCCCCAAAGTGTTCCAAGGTGGTACTTCTCCCCCTACCTCCTCTCCAAATCAAGGTTATAATAGTGCCCTGAAGAAGGGAACTGAGCAAACATTCTTATTTCATTTTCTTCTCATCATCTGAAATAGCTTATAATTATAATGATAATAATGGTATTAATGAAATAAGTAATTCTTTAAATTTGGGAGATCTGTAGACAAAAATTTCAAAAATATTTCTTTCATTAAGAGCTTCTTGCCTGACCCACTATGTTTCACCTCTTTTTGTGTTTTTTTTTTTTTGTAATTCTCCTACAGGTAGAAATATCTACAAACAGAAAAAATGGTCAAAAGTAGCAAATGGGGAACAAGGAGGAACTGGTACTTCAGGAACCAGGAAGACGGCTTCCCTCTGGAAATAGGGGCCAGACTGAAGGTGAATTGCCTCATGTTTCCCAGTACTTCTTTCAGTGAGTAAGGCCAGGACCTCAGAATAGGCTATAATTGGCACCAGGTCACCAGAGCCATGAATTAAAGCTTTAACAAATTAGATCTATCAGTCTATCACACCTTGGTTGTGTTAACTCTGGATTCGCTGAGAAAATGCTAAGATAGCTCCAAATCTTTGCATGGCTTTCCTAATCCTCATTGTATCTTTTTTTTAATTTATAGAGAGATAAGGTCTTACTCTGTCATCCAGGCTGGAGTGCAATGGAGTGCTCATAGTTCACTGCATACAGCCTCCAACTCCTGGGCTCAAATGATCCCCCCACCTCTGACTACAAAGTAGCTGGGACTATAGGCATGCTCCACCACACGTGGTTAATATTTTTATTTTTTTGTAGAGACGGGATCTCACTATGTTGTACAAGCTGGTCGCAAATTCCTGGCCTCAAATAATCTTCTGGTTTCGGCCTCCCAAAGCACTTGGATTAGAGGTGTGAGCCAGGGCTCCCAGCCTAATCTTCATTGTTTCTAAGAGCTAAACTCCCTCTTAAATGACCCAAGTTTATGGAGTGGGGGTGGGGATCAGTTGGGAAAAAAAGGGATTAACTCACCGGGTGGTCATGACAATCACCAAGACTTTTTGCTCCCATACCATGAGCCAGAAATCACGATAGGTATTCTCCAAAGGGCCTGAAGTAAAAGAAGACAAGGAACGTGGCTCTGGGAAGCAATCTGTTCTTTCTTAGGTTTTTCTGTTTTTCTCCCCACTACTAACTCCAAACCACAGATATTAGCTCCCTGGTCATGTCTCCACGTCCCAGTTTTTCAGTGTGGTCCTTGGACCGACAGCACCAGCATCACGAGCATCATATGGAAAAGTGTTAGAAATGCAGAATCGGCATGTGAGCAAGCTCCCCAGGACAGCTGTAGGGAGGTTACTGTGTGGGAAGCACCGTTTAGCCCTACTCATCAGAGATTCAGCCACCACACCCAGGCTGACAGTGTTACCTGTGTACATGTCTCTAGCTGTTTTCATCTCACCTTAAGCTTCAGCCTTATAATCACAGGTTGCCCACTAAACCATTATCCTTCCGTATCCCATCATCTCAGAACCATTACATCCACAACTCAGTCTCCTCCTTCAAAATTAGCTATATCTTTCAACTTTATTAACTCTGTTAACAATATTGGCATTCTTAAGTCATTCAGTCTTAAAACATTGAGGTAAACTCTGACTTATCTATTTCCTTCATTTCCCAGAAGCAGTCAGTCACCAAATTATACAGATTTTTTTGCCTTTGAAATGTTTTTGGTTTTATCCTTTTGCCCCTATCCTCTTCCCATCCTATTCTTCCTGCCACAAGGACCACATCATCTTTTGTCTGAGTCACTATAACATCATCTTAATTTACTTTTCTGAGTAGGTCTCCACTTACCTTCCAGTCTATTCTGGATACCCTGACCGGTTCAATCTTTCTAAAAAAAATTGCTGTGTCACAATACAGACATACCATGCTCACTTCTCCCTCTACTCCTCTGCTCACACTGTCTCCCCCACTTCCAATGCCATCCACTGTCCACCCATGTTCAAGTGCTCCCTATTCCTGGAAGCTTTCTCTGGCCACCACATTCCTATGGGACGACTTCTCCTCTGAGCTCTTGATGGCACAGCTAGATCTAAATAGCTTAACCATTGTAGGATTTGATGATGTCTCAGTAAACATGATCCTGAGGACAAGGACCATGTTGTCAAGTTCTGCTTTTATAGTTAGAGCCTACACAGGGCTGAGCACTCCGCAAGAACTTTGAAAACATGTGTGGACCACCAATTCCCTTTCAATCAAGAAAGTAACAACTCAGGATAATTCATTGTACTTTCCCAATGCTTTTTCCCCTCTCTCCTTTCAGGGAAGTACTAAGGGTGATTTTGCCCTAGAAGTCTGCTGGTTTGTTACCATTTTTGCTAAGTCTTTTAGCAAGCACTGAAATCTTATGATACTGGAATTCCCTCTTTGCTGAAGTAGACACTGCCGCAACCACGTGAGGTCTTGAAAGTAAGCTAAATGTCCAACAAGAGAAGATTAGCTAAATTGTGGCATACCCATAATTTATGTAGTCCATAAAGCCAAAGTTGTAAGATCTGTTATTTTCTGCCAGTGAAAGGTAGTCAAAAGATACCATTAAAGGAAAAAAAAAAAGACAATGTATAGAAAGACTCCATTTTGTTAAATAACTTATATGTCTATATCTATGTGTATGCATAGGAAAAGATCTAGGAAAATATGTATGCTGCAAAATGTTAACATTATCTCTGGATCTTAGGGTTAGAGTGAATCCAAAGCCCCTTTTCCCTTTTTTCTCCCCCAACTTTCAGTTTGAACAATTTCAAACCTACAGACAAGCTGAAAGAGTAATACAAAGCACTCATACATTCTTTAGCTAAAAAGCTATCATTTTGCAACATTTATTTCTCTCTATACACACATACATATTTTTCCATTTTATAGAACTATGTAAAAGTAAGTTGTAGACTAAATGATACTGTATTGTGCACTTAAAAATATAAGAGGTTAGATCTCAAGTGTTCTTACAATTAAAAAAAAATTAAAAAGTTGCAGGCATCATGGTATTTTACTCCTAAATACTTGAGCATATATTAGGAAAACAAGGATATCTTCCTATAGAACAATACCATTATCACACTGATATAATTTAACATTGATATAATGATAGCTTACAAAAAGTCTCCATTTATTTTATTTTATTTAATAAAAAGTGTGCCCATGTTGCTCAGGCTGGTCTTAGATTCCTGGCCTCAAGCAATCCTCCCATTTTGTAATCCCAAAGTGGGAGGATTAGAAAAAGGGATTACAAAGTGGAAGTTTACAAAACGTCTCCATTTATTTTATTTTTTTATTTTTTTTTGAGACAGAGTCTCACTCTGTTGCCTGGGCTAGAGTGCCGTGGAGTCAGCCTAGCTCACAGCAACCTCAAACTCCTGGACTCAAGCAATCCTCCTGCCTCAGCCTCCTGAGTAGCTGGGACTACAGGCATGCGCCACCATGCCCTGTTAATTTTTTCTCTATATATTAGTTGGCCAATTAATTTCTTTCTATTTATAGTAGAGACGGGGTCTCGCTCTTGCTCAGGTTGGTTTTGAACTCCTGACTTCGAGCAATCCGCCCACCTCGGCCTCCCAGAGTGCTAGGATTATAGGTGTGAGCCACCGAACCCAGCCCCTCCAACTGTCCTAATAGTTTGTCTTTAATAGGTTTTTTCCTAGCAACTGAGGATCCAATTACAGATCACATATTGCCTTTGGTTATCTCTTAGTCTCCTTTAATCTAGAACAGTTCACTGCTTTTTTTGTGTTTCATGACATTAACTGAAAAGTATGAGCCAGTTTTCTTATAGTATGTCCCATAATCTGTATTTGTCTGGTTTGTTTCTCATGATTAGATTTATATTTTAAAACTAGCAGCATACAATACAGGTGATGTGCATTTCTCACTGCTTCACATCAGGAGGCATATATAATGTCACTTTGTCCATTATTGGTGATACTAAGTTTGATTACTTCATTACCTTGAGGAGGTATCCACCAAATCCCTTGCTGGCCATGCTCTGCAATGGTCAAAGTCCCTAAACCCACATGGTGGCCTATTTTGTCTTCCGGTGTTGTGATTTCCTCCCCCCCTCTCAGAAGGTGACATGATATTCTTCTGTGGTACAGAAGCCACAGGTCAGGAGGAGTACTGGGCCCATAGGAGCATTTATAGACACTCCATCTGAAATCCTCCTAAGGTGTAGCACTTCATTGGCAGACTTAGCACAGAATATTTATGTCAGAACATTTGTGCCAGTGCTCTGTACAGAGACCAACAAAGACCTGTTAGGTCAGCAACACTCATTCCTCCATTGTACCTAGTCTCTGGGAAACCCCACTGCCATTCACAGCCTCTTACTGGACAGGAAGAGCATGTCACTGGATGGCGAGTCCTGACGCCCTAAGCCGGAGGCAACAGAGTGAGACTCTGTCTCAAAAAAAAAAAAAAAAAAAAGATGCAGGCAGTAGTGTTATGTGTTTAAATCTCCAGTTTATCTCTATACAATGGGTTTACAGCCACACCTGGTACAGAAACCTTACAGCTCTCATCTGTCTTTTTCAACCACTACCAATATTTATGAAAGGTTGGGATTTATTGGGCACAAAACAACTGAAGTTAGCAGTTCCTTTAAAAATTATGCCGTCATCTGGCACAAGGAATCACAGGTACATGGCACAAAACCAACATGTGAGGGCTGGACCAGCTTACCTTGTGTACCAATGTAAGCATTCTTCTGCTTATAGCCATCCATGAAACTGGCATTGATGTAATCTGTCTGATGATAAAAAGGAGACATCATTTCAGCTTCATGGAATATACAATTTGGGTCATAAAATGATGTACTGGGTAAGTATAACTGAAGGTGTGAATATTGCCTTGTCAAGCAGAAAGTGAGGAGTGAAAGGGTCAATTCAAAACCTCCTTCAACAAATGGTGCATGGACAACTGGATATCGAAATGCGGAACAATCAAGCTAATCCCTTCCTCATACCATAAACAAAAATGAACTCAAAATGGATCACAGAACTAATATAAGAGATCAAAACTATAAAACTCTTAAAAGAGCCCTTTTGTTATGACAATAGGCCTGTTCCTGTCTGTGGCAAATGTATCTTGCTCTTGCTCTATAAACCTATCTTGGCCTTCCTCAATAAACTTTGTTTCACGCTTTAAAAAAATCTCTTAAAAGAAAGTAAAGGAGTAAATCTTCATGACCTTGGGTTAGGTAAAGCTTCTTGGATATGACATCAAAGGCACAAGTGACAAAAGAAAAGAAAAAAATTGGGCTACATTAAAATTAAAAACTTTTGTGCTTCAAAGGACTCATCAAGAAAGATAAAAAGAATAACCCATACAATGCATATATTTGGTAAGAAACTTGTATCTAGGATACATTAAGAACTCCTGCCGGGCGAGGTGGCTCACGCCTGTAATCCTAGCTCTCTGGGAGGCTGAGGTGGGTGGATTGCTCGAAGTCAGGAGTTCAAAACCAGCCTGAGCAAGAGCGAGACCCCGTCTCTACTATAAATAGAAAGAAACTAATTGGCCAACTAATATATATACAGCGGCCTAGAGTGAGTGCTGTGGCGTCAGCCTAGCTCACAGCAACCTCAAACTCATGGGCTCAAGCGATCCTCCTGCCTCAGCCCCTCCCGAGTAGCTGGACTACAGGCATGGCCCACCAATGACCCAAGCATATTTTTCTATATATATTAGTTGCCAATTAATTTCTTTCTAATTTATAGTAGAGATGGGGTCTAGCTCTTGCTCAGACTGTTTTCGAACTCCTGGCCTAAAGCAATCTGCCCGCCTCGGCCTCCCAGAGTGCTAAGATTATAGGCGTGAGCCACTGCGCCTGGCCTCAATATTCTCTTTCATCTTTTCTATTGAAGTTCCTATTTTGTACATCATTTTTAACTGTTTCTGATTGTGTCTAATTGTTTCTGATTGTTTCTTTTTCATAGCCTCCCATTCTTGTTTCATGTAGAATAGCATTAACCTCTTTTCTCTTGAGGATATTAATTATAGCCTTCTATAAGTTATTTTTCACTTATTGACTCTTCTTTTATGCTTTTTTTCTATGTATTTGTTTTTTGTGTTTTGGTTTCTATGTATTTGTTTTTTGTGTTTTTTTTTTTTTGAGACAGTCTCGCTTTGTTGCCCAGGCTAGAGTGAGTGCCATGGCGTCAGCCTAGCTTACAGCAACCTCAAACTCCTGGGCTCAAGCAATCCTGCTGCTTCAGCCTCCCGAGTAGCTGGACTACAGGCATGCACCACCGATGGCCAGCAGCAAATTTTTTGTATATATATTAGTTGGCCAATTAATTTCTTTCTATTTATAGTAGAGATGGGGTCTCGCTATTGCTCAGGCTGGTTTCGAACTCCTGACCCTTGAGCAATCCGCCCGTCTCAGCCTCCCAGAGTGTTCCGTATGTATTTGAATCATGTTATTTGAATTGTGTGTTAAGTCCTTGTGTTAGGAGTTTTCCTTAATTATCTGGAAGTCTTGGCTGTTAGTTTATAGGAGTTGGGTCCTTTAAAGCTGCTTAGAAGCTCTTTCTACATGAGTGAGCTTCAAATTAAAATGATCAGACAGCTAGCTTATTGTTTTTTGGGGTTTTTTTTGAGACATAGTCTCGCTTTGTTGCCCAGGCTAGAGTGGAGTGCTGTGGCGTCAGCCTAGCTCACAGCAACCTCAAACTCCTGGGCTCAAGCAATCCTACTGCCTCAGCCTCCAAGTAGCTGGGACTACAGGCACTGCACCACCATGCCCAGCTAATGTTTTTCTATATATAGTTGGCCAATTAATTTCTTTCTATTTATAGTAGAGACAGGGTCTCGCGTATTGCTCAGGCTGGTTTCGAACTCCTGACCTTGAGCAATCCAACTGCCTTGGTCCCAGAGTGCTAGGATTACAGCGCGTGAGCCACCCGCGCCCGCCAAGCTTATTGTTGATGTATGCCAAATGACAAAATTCTTTTATCTGGTGCTGTTAAGTTTCTCTACGAGAAGAGTCTGTCTATTGCCTAGTGGGATCCAGCTTGCAGAAGAGTATAGGAAAATGATAGGGCGGATGGGCAAGGATTCTCACTGTTTATCTTTTGGGTTTTCATGCGTTTCCTTGTTTTAGCTCTGTGCTCACTTGCCCTTCCATCAAAGGTGTAGGACTAAGTCATTTTGTCTCTCTGTAGGACCTTCCTAGGTCCTAGCTTCCCACATTTGGCCCAAATCAGCCAAACATCTTCCCATCTCTTTCTGTCTTCCAATTGGGTTGAAATCTCTGTCTGTAGATGTCTCCACTGCCATGTTTTGTGGGTTTGTAACCAAATAGTTCCTTATTGTCATTTTAGTTAGGCTATTTGGTAGATGGGTGGCATCTGACATGTGTTGTCATCCTACCATATTAAACTGGAATTTAAGAGATTTGGTTTGAGCATCTTTTATAAATGAGTAGTAGAAATTTTTATCTGTAGCTAGATATTTGGGGAATATACCTATTTTTTCTTCCCTCCTCTCTTTCTCTTTTTTTCAAACATACTCCTCACTTCTGTCTGAGATCTCATCAGAATGGCCTTTACCATCCATATTTCTACCAATGTTCTGATCATGATCACTTAGGTACATCCTAATAAAAATTAAGCCTTTCTCTATAGCTCTTCTTTTCTGATATCTTACCAGAATTGCCCTTTATTCTCTGTTCATGGCAATGGAGGCCTTTTTCTAGCATGCATCTCCAAATTCTTTCAGCCTCTTCCCATGACCCATTTCCAAAGCTGCGCGTTCACATTCTTCAGGTTTTTATAGCTGCACTCACTCCTCAGTGACAATTTCTGTCTTAGTCCATTGTGGACTCCCTCTCTCGTCCGTTTTGAGTGGAACATTATTTATTTCAAGTAGTATTATTCGATCATCAAAAACACTTAAATGAATATGAAACTGTAGACTCAGAGAAGTGAAAGACTCCCTTGTCACCATCCCCAATAGGTCACTTGACACCTACCCTTTACATTGGTCCGACTCTTGAACATATACATTGCCCCCTCCACTTCTTACTTTATTCTACGCTTGTTGTTCTCATTTTCCTTCAGGTCTCCAGGAACCTAGAGAAGAACCGGTCTACGGGGATGTACCCTGCCTGAGGACCAAGTAGGGTGAAGCTGACGCGAAGTGGCCATCACTCAGAGTAGACAGATAAATGCTATCTTTTAGGAGTACTGGAGGGAACATGCGCTTCTTCCAACAGTATAGAGCTTTAATTCTATAGTGGAGTGAAAATGGACTGCTAAAGCCATGGGACATGAAGATCTACGCAATTCCAACATTTGCTACATAACGCAGTAAGCAACAATCGTAATCATAGGCAAGTTCCTAAAATTGCCCCATCTCAACCAGTACTCGAGCAGGATTAACTAAAATCTCTTTATGGTGACATGCTGATCTAGACAAGGATCTGATATTTTAATAGGTCTTGATAAATGTTTAATTATTTTTATTTGACTCCATAGTTGTAAAGTCATGGTCATATAGTCAATCAGTTGGTGAGTGTAATTGTATAATTTGTAATTGATGCAAGGCAACTTTGATTATAAGTGGACCTCTCATTTCTTCTATGATAGGCTGAAAATTTATGAGA